CAAAACAAAAATTCTAGAAATAAAACAAATCCCCAAATCAAAACCAAAACCCCAAAAGATAGGGAATTCTACTAACACATATTCATAGGTAGATTACTTTTTATATAGAGATTTGTTTGGTCATTATTTAGTATCCCTAATCCAAATTCCCACTGTTTGGTCACTGTGAAAATCTCCAATTAATTATTTTAGAAAAATTGACACTGACTCTAAAGTCATATGAAATTAATAAAATAGTGTGAAATAATGCCTCCATTATGTAAAAAAAAAAAAAAAGAGAAATAAAAACCTGTAACCCCAACATGCTAAAAACCCATGCAGCTACTTCCCCACATTTGCCTTGGTTATTGCTGTTGCTTCTTCCAGAAACTCTTTCCCCATGGGTGAGCAGAGATGCCATACAAAAGTGTGACAAGCAGGCAGATTAACAAAGGTTAGTAAGGCTGTAGAACACCAAGGCTTTGTTTAGCTTTACTAAAAAAGAGTTGCCCTAGAAAAATGTTAAAAGATGAGAAAGAAGGAAAATAAGCAATCAACAGAATGATGTTAAAGTGCTCAGAGTCTCTATTGGCAGACCATGTGACGTTCTTATCAACCAAATTCTTTTTTCTTTAAGACAAGATGGTTTTGAAACTAGTCTCTTTGCAGAGCATATATTGAATTACCTATTTTTTTATATCATCTCAAACTGATCCTTTTTATTTGTGCCATTAAAGTTTGTTATCCAGAGAACAAGAAAGCATAAAAAAAGGATCTTTATAGTCAGTTTTTTTTTTTTTGTCTTTCACACACTTACACCAATAATAACTCACCCCCAAAGTTTTAAGAAATAAATGATCAGAGCAAAACTAACACTAGGCAAATATATTTTCATTCAAGATCATTTCAAATTCCTCAAGTAATATTTTAATAAATATAACTGAGAGGTATTTTCTATGAAAATCCCTGGCAGACAGTCCTAGCTATCTGAGGACTACCACTTGCAGTGACAACTCTTCTAATCAATATATGAAACACAAAGATGATAATCTGCTTGTGTGAAATAGGCCCATCTTCAAATGCATTTCTAACTCTAGTCTCTCTGGCTGCCTATCTCTGCATCATTGCCTCCTCTTCCCCTTTACAAAGAACTTTACTAAGGTTTCAAAGAGCAGCCTAGTTTTATGTGCTATTTGGATAAGAAGCAATTGTTCTTAACTAACTTAAAATAAATCTCGATAACTTAAATCTAAATGAAGCAATGTTTGATTTAGAATTCTAATATAATGTAGTGCTGATGTAGCACTGTGGGATAAAGCACCGGGCCACAAGGTCTGTTTGAACCGCAAGGTCGGCAGTTCAAACTCACCAGCTGCTCCTTGGAAGCCCTATACAGGGTCACTAAGAGTTGGAATCAACTCGAAAGCACTTAAAAACAAAACAACATAACGGATAAGGTTAAGGAAGCATTTCTAATTCAGGAAATTAAAGCTCCTGGGAAAAGAAATTACTCACTCACACTCAATGATAGTCCAGTAAATGAAAATATCTCTTGTACTTGATTGTCATTGCCAAAAGTACCTCTAGACTTTACAAAAAAAGGGGGAGGGGGGCGGACGGACTTGGAACTGATAAGTTGTATCTTGTTTTCTAAACTAAAGATCTGTGTGTACAGTTACTTTACAGGAAAGAAACAAACAAAAAGACCTTTAAAAATAATGATAATTTGATGCTGTGGGTACTGTTCAGCTTTTCTAGCTGGGTGACAGATTTTTCCCTCAGAGTATAAAAAGCTTTTATTTATAATGATCTAGGTAATACTGTAGGATAAGCAGTGAACTACTAACCACAAGGTCAGCGGTTCAAACCCACCAGCCTCTCCTCAGAAACCCTATACAGGGTTGCTATGAATCAGAACCTATTCAACAGCACACAACAACAACTCTATATCCTATATATTTGAAATTTTAACAATAAAAAAGCAGATAAGCAACATTTATGGATGCTATACTTTTTTCTTTTCAATTTTAGTCAAAAATACCAGAATGTCTCATCTTAAGTGATTAAAAATATTGCATTAACAAACATTATAGAAAAAGTACATGTATAATTCCTGAGAGATTTTCTGAAAATACTTGTAAGCTGAGTTTTTAAAAAAGTCTAAGTCTCCCCACATAACTGAGAGCTATGATTCTTTTTCCTAGCTTCTTTTCTGTTCTTCTTAAAATTGCTTAAGAATGAAATGAACATTACTTAAGAAATGATAAATATTATAATTATTGCTTTAATATGCATAAGTGAAAAAGTATACATTTAAATTCCAAAATAAAACACATATAAATGAGAGAGTCTATATAAGTCCAAAAGAACTCAAATTAAATCAAGTGGGCATAATTTTAAAAATACATGGTCTACAGTGTCTATAGAGACAGTGTTCTTACAAGCTAAGCATATCACTCTGCACATGATACTAAAAACTCTGTATGCATACTTTATGGGCCAAGATGTGAATTCTTTGTCATGTCAAAAAGACTGTAAAATATATTTTGGTTGTTTATTACAGTTCTGGAAAATTACATGTCACCAAATGATCCTTCTGTTCTCATTAAATACCAAATGCAAAGTGAGCCTCCTGAAGAGACTTTGCAAGGAGCGTATTCAAAGAAGAGAAAAAATTACCTAAAACACATGTGAAAAAGGCAAGCACAGGAAGGACTGGGTGCATAATAGAGCATTAATTAAAAAAAGAATATTCAGCAACCTCACAATGTGATACATTTAGGGAACTATCATAACATCAAACTCATGGGCTTGAATTCCATTTGTTTTATTGGTATACATTAGCTGAAAATGATTACATAGAATACTAAGCACACATTTACTGAATAATAATTTTTTTGTGTCTATTCAACATTTACTCATACAGAGTATGTATGAAATGCATTTGTTTGTTGACCATTACAAGGTCAAAGAGTACGTTTTCCCATCAGGTACAGTATCAGAACTATCAGTTCCTCTCGAGGACAAAGAATTTAAGTGGAATAGACTGCTGGACTTAGTGGAGGAAAGCAACCTCCTTGATTTAAGGATTTGTTCTTGAAATTCTAGATTGCTTTCAGATATAAAGAACAAAAGACAACCAGAACCTGATTACTTGCAAGACTAAGTATGTTCCTTGGATACATGTTTTAGAGACCTTTACTTTCTTTCTATTTAATGGTCAATATGTTTATTTTAGGGCACAGAATGATCATACTCTTTGCTCAAAGTGTGCTCCAGGACCAGCAATATTGGTATCACCTGGGAGCTTGTTAGAAACGCAGAAGCCCAGGCCCCACCGAAGACCTGCTGAATCCAGATCTGATATGTAAAAACTTTCCCAGGTGACTTGAAAGCACTGCTCTAACACACAGAACACCAAAGCAAGTCAGAAGACCCAGGTTTATACCTTAGACTTGTGACTTATCAATTATTTATGGTGGGCAAGACAACATTGTTAGCCTTAGCTTTCTTCCCTAAAAACTGGAGGGAATACCATTCGTTTTACTTATACACCTACCTACAAAAGAGAGTTGTTTCAGGGATCAAAAACAAAAACAAGGATAGAAGTTAAGCTCTTTATAACTAATAAAGTGCTATATGACTGTACGTCACTACTGCTAATAATAAATATAGCTTCTTTACAACTCTCCTTGTTTGACCTCTTACAGCCCATTAGACTACATTATTAAGATAAAAGGCTCCTTCATGGTTCACAAACTTCTCAAGCCCCTAATCATCTTTCTGTTTCATTATAAATCAAACGCAAAGTGGGCCTCCTAAAGAGATTATCTACAACACTACCATTATTTTGCCCCCAATACTTGATCTATTCTCTTTTTTTGGCTTTACTATTAATTTCCAAGACAACAAACTTCTGATTTTAACTGTAAAGTCTGAGAACGGAGTTGCTCTGTAAAATCCTACTTTTCTTCTCAGTCTATGGCTTTTCTGGCCCAATTTAGCAATAGTTCCTCTTTTCCAAAACACAAAGTATGGTTGTAAGGGTACATAGTTTACAAGCTGTATTTTATATCTAATTCAGAGAGGTCAATGACCCAGCTTTCTCCCTAATGCCCCAAATCTACAAATAGAACCATGAATCTTAAAAAATGAGAAATTCCTAAACTGTACCCACTGAACCCAGTGGTTAGCTGTACCTGTTACACATCAAATGAATGCTGAGAAGTTTCTTATAACCATGACTTAAACAAAACTGGTTAGCTTTAAAAATCTAATTAATGGATCAACTTATTTATTTTCTATCGAACACCGAAAATCAATTAACATCATAAAATTCCTAAGTCATTGGCATGTGATCTTAACTGGTTTTTCAGTTCTTCACCCAAATCCTTTGTCAACCCATAGAAACCAGAGCGCCCTCTCCTCTGTGCATTAATTCTATAGCCTAAATTCCCCCGTCAACACCACACTGAGAACCTTACTGAGAATTCAGACTCCATGCAGGGGAACAGAAAAGGGTTAACACATGCAACTGTGCAGCAACACTTTCAAACACAGTTTAACTTAAAAAAAAAAAAAAATCACCCAGCACAAGAACAATCCCCAAGTCAGCCCAAGAGCAGAGAATTAGTACTATCAGGTGATCAGAAACAAAACCAAGGCAAACACCTAACAAATATCCAGAGTCATTATCATTTAAATAACTATCAGTGTTGTGAATTCAAAAACCACTATCATGAGGCAAAGGCTATCAGAGAAGCTCCCATTAGTTCCTCCAAAAAGCACTTGGCTTTGACAGAAGATTTGACTTTAAGGCAGAAAAGGCATAGAATGTGGGCAGTTTTTCAGGCTAAGGCTACCAGATGTGAGTGTGTTCTCCATTAAGGAAATGAAAGAATAGTGTGTGGACTCAGTAAGAGTCTGGATCAGCACTGGGTAGTGCTTATCTGTATAACAGGGAAGGTCGGGGAGCAAGCTGTCCTTTCCTATCAGTGAGTAGACTCAGTATGGGCTCCTACCAGTCTCTGCTGCTCCAAGAGGAGATCTGCTTCTTCCTTCTCCTTTTTGTATAGGATCTCCATTTCCTGTAGCCTAGAAGAAGGAAAAAAAGACAACAAAGAATAAATTCTAAAATCAATAAGCTGTTTAAAGAATGCTATTCTAGTCTTAAAAGAAAAAATGATAGTCATATGGGCCACATAATACTCATAGTTATACGTTACCTTTTCTCCATCTCCTGTTTCATATCAATTCCTTGTTTTTCCAGAAGCTCTCTCTGGGCAAACGTCCAGTCCACAGGTTCGGAGGGGGTCTCAGCAGAAGGAGTCTTTTCCCGTTCAGCTCGTGCTTGCTCCGGGTGGTTAAAGCGAAAAACATGGTTTTTACCCATGATAATACGATTTCCTAGTATAAAGAAAAAAAGGAGGGTTTAAATTTAAGTCTCTAGTATCTAGGTTAGTAACCTTATTCTCTCTAATGTGAAAACACAGTGTTTAGAGTTATTTTATAGAAGCACACATCTTGATACTATCACTTCAGCCCTTAAACAAAGAGTCAAAAATTAAAAAAAAAATTTCATACTAGCCATGAGGGCGCTGCTGAAGATCTCAAACTTTCCCAGTCTCACCTGAGCGCAGCTGGACAGGCTGAGCCACCCTCTTGCCATTTACGTAGGTTTCTGAGCGCTCACATGGCTCCAAAGTCACAATAACTAAAAGGAACAAAAATTAATGATTAGACTCAGAAGCCAATGGAAGCAAATAATGGATTATCAGGAGGTATGGTAACTATAATACTAAAACCCATGCCACTGAGCCAATTCTGACACATGGCAACCTTACAGAACAGAGCAGAACTGGCTCCTTAGGGTTTCTGAGGCTATAAATCTTTCCAGAAGCAGACGGTCTCATCTTCTTTCCAGAGTGGATGGTGGGTTTGAACTACTGACCTTCAGTTAGCAGTCCAGTACTTAACCCACTGTGCCACCAGAGCACCTTTAACTAGAATAGACACCTGCAACTAGCCAAGTGGTTGAAGCACGTACGTATCAGATCATTTCAGAGTACCAGAGTCAGTCCAAAACAAGAGGCTATTTGGGACTGTGGCTGACATAGAACATTTAACTGAGTTGGAATTAAGAATCTTGAAAACCTCAGAATCAGACAGAAAACAGTAGTTCTGGTGATGTCTGAAGGTAGTTAAGCCAATAAAAACTGAAGCCATAAGAAATCTTAAGCGGTCCAGAAGCAGAGGTCCCTGGGACCATCAAGGGAGATGAGCGGAGTGCGGGACCCTACCCAGAGAAGCAGTGACGCCAGAGATGGAGGCAGAGACAACGACATGGAGAGATAAAGCATCTGGGGTATCTGGACTCAGGGAGGGAGAGGGACTGTGTGTGGGTGGCCAGGGGGCAGGCTTGCAGGGTATACCCTTTGATTGTTTGATGATGCATGGAGGGGATTGTACTCATTGAGATGAAATGAAATATGATAGGATGAATGTAAAGCTAATGTTCTCCCATGTAAACTATCACATAATTCACAATTAAAAACTAAACAAAAACAAAAACAAAAAGGAAATCTTAACAAAAAGGAAATCTTAAGTATGAGATGTATGTAATAATCCAAACTTTAGGATTAAAAACTAATGTTTTGATTAGGAAGGAGTGAGTTATAAAAATACTACTAGAGTGTTATTTTGGTAAAAGCCTAGAGAAAAATTCTAGACAGACTTTCTATTTCCTTTTAGGTAAAATGAAAAAATAAATTCTTCTGGGATAAGAACAGAGGTCCTTCAAAGCCCCTACTGCCCTGTATATTTATTCCTTTCTTACTTTTCTATTAAATAATTTACATTCAAGACCAAGCCTAATTGCCTATGTCCTGCTCAGTCCTTGGCAGCAACAAAAGGGCTCCTTTTGTAGAGGCCTTTTTTTCATGTAAAGTAGCTATGTGTGTCCTTGCATTTACAAGCAGCCCAGGTTTCTCCATTTTCAATATTAGATCGTATGAGAACGTTCCATTAAAAGATACAGGGACTACCAAATTTTGGAGATTGCTCAACGCAGAATGAAAAAGTTGTCAGAGAAGCTCAAGCCAGGGACTCTCACCATCACCACTGTTGTTTCTCTCACTCCGGAAGATACAATGTTCTTCTTTAATGTGAGCCCCACTTAGCACTATATCCTGGCGCCGCTCAGCATCTGCTTGGCCAACCCTGAACACAAGAGAAAGCGTTTCCCAGGGCAGTTGAGACACAAAAACTGCTAGGAACAATGAACCTCTTTCTCCCAAAGAATATTCTTTAGTAGGTACAAAAGGTATTGCCTTTTTGTATCAGAAGCTTTCAATTGCAAATTCTACTTTTCATATATGACCAACCTCTCTACATCAGAATAAGAAATGAAAGAGCAGTGATTAATTCACATAGCATTACAAAGAGACAGGAGCAAACTAAACTCCCTAAATAATTCATATAGGATGTTAGAAGGGAAAAAAATAGGGTCTTATGGATAACTAGTTTGGCTGGCTAAACACAACATAATTTGTGAAGGGAGAACACACAATTTATAACTATTTCATACAGAGAAAACAGCAAATTATAAAAATAAATTCGTTAACAAATAACATCCCTTTAATTATTCAATCATTAAGAGAAAAAATATTACGCTATCAAAAGAAGAAACAAAGATACCTTGTAATTCCATCTTTGATGTAATAAAGCAGGCATTCAGACATTAGTGGGTCTTCATTGAGGTTAACAAGATGTGGGGTCTGAAAAAAGGTTACAGATTCTCAATTTAGAACAAGTCACTATAACAGAGCAGTGACAACAATAACATAGACCTCTAGGAGGGTGATGGTTTCTTTGAGACCCCAGAGTACCTAGAAGAGGGTTGTTGTTACGTGCCATGGAGTCAGTTCTGACTCATAGTGATCCGATGCACAGCAGGGTGAAACACTGCCTGGTCCTGCACCATCCTCACAATCGGTGTTATGCTGGATGGAGCCCATTGCTGCTGCCACAGGGACCTCTGTATCATTCCCACTTTGGAGAAAAGCGTTTTCAAGCCCTTTTAATCATTGTTCCCAATCATTACAGCCCTGACTAACCTTTCCCCTGTGCTGCAGGAACAGGTAGGCTAAGGTTTTAGTGCCGCATTGTTGATTTAGAACTAGGATAAGACAAGCCAGGAGGAACACTGGCTTGTAAAAGAATGTAACTTTAAGACAAAGGTTTCTGAAAAGGCCACTCATATTGTTTGGGGCAAACACATCCCAGGATATAAGATGCCTTGACTCAGTGGGACATAAACTGTATCCCCAAATGATAGAGCCACAAAACTCTGAGAAAAGAATTTAACAATACACAGATACCTAGTTGTTGTTGTTGTTAAGTGCCGTCGAGTCGGTTCCGACCCATAGCGACCCTGTACAGGGTTTCCGAGGGTGTAAATCCTTACGGGAGTAGAAAGCCTCATCTTTCTCCCGCAGAGCGGCTGGTAGTTTCGAACCGCTGACCTTAAGGTTCGCAGCCCGATTCGTAACCACTACGCTATCTAGAGAGGTGTAAAATTCCCACGGTATGGGGGAGGGCCAGGCAATCTTTCAGAGAAGGATTCTCATTGCCTTCCAGATCTGTCAATAAAACGTATGTTGATTCCCACCCCATCTCTGATATTGGCTACAGTCTGGAAGTCTGGGACATTCGTCTGGTAATACTTTTAATCCCACAATAAAGAGAAAATGCACCTCTTCTCAAATTGCACCAATGGGTTCTATTTAAAAACATGAGTTCTGGTATAATGAACAAGATCCAATTCTTGGTAGGGACAAAGCATAGTGAGCAAAAAAGAAAGATCAGGACAAGTTGAATTTCTTTGGTTAATCATAATATTTTTGCAAATGCCTGGGCAAAAATCCCAAGAAACATTTAATATTTATTTACTTGAAAACAGTGTCTTCCCAACCCTGATGACATTTTGCTATAATTTTGGTCCTTGTTATTTAGTTTACTAGTCTTTATTGTAAAGAAGGAATTTAAATGACTAACCTCCAATAATATGAACACCTTTGGAAAAAACCCTTCTTTATCTAACTCTATTATTTCTAAAAATCTTTTAAAGCCAACTTTATTTGGTGATGATACCGCCACTGGCATCCATAAATAAGCCTTATGATCTTGGGGTCAAAATCTACTTAAGATAATGCCAGCAAATGTGGGGACATGAGAGAAGAGTCAGAAAGAGGTTAGGAAAATGGACTGTAAAAGATGATTTAAAAGAAAAATAGAGAAACCTCTAAATCTCCTCAACCAGTGTCTACATCTGTAGTAACCTTTGTTGGTATGAGAAAATCAAAGTACTCTGTTCTTTAAAACCTATCATGACACTGGTCAGAAAAGACAGAAACCTCATAAACAGGCTCTAACAGTGAGTTTGGATGTGGGCAGTGGCAGACCCCTTTCCTTTCCTGAGGAAGTCCAGAAAGTTCAGGTCAGATGTGTAAAATTAGCAAGATGAATCTGAGCAAACAGAGAAGTTTGGTACTCTACACTTTATACCATCTAAACACTTGTTTATGTGTTCACTTGTTGCTGTCAAGTTGATTCCGGCTCATAGAGCAGCCATATATGACAGAGTAGAACCTCCCCAGAGAGTTTCCAAGGATATAATTTTTACAGAAGCAAATTGCCATATCGTTCTCCTGTGGAGTGGCTGGTGGGTTCAGCTGTCAACCTTTTGGTTGGCAGCCAAATGCTTAACTATGAGCCATCAGGGTTCGTTGTACGAATGCTTGTTGTTGTCAAGTGCCATCGAGTCGCTTTCAAACCACAGCGACCCTGTATAGGTTTTCCGAGGAGTGACTGGTGGGCTTGAACTGCTGACCTTTTAGTTCAGTGCATGTTTTCACAAGTTTTATAAAAATTTCCCCACAGTACTTAATACTCAAAGATTTTATAGAATACTTTTAGATATATGCAAGGACACAACACAAATTCTATAAAACTTGTAACTATTAAAATCTCTATACTAAAAAAAAAACAAAAAAAAAACCAACAAACAGAAAATAAACCTCTATACTAGTAGGTAATCTATCTTAATGCAGGAGTCCAGTATGTAGGATAAGCACTGGACTGCTAATCTCAAGGTTGACAGTTCAAATCCACCAGCCACTCCATAGGAGAAAGATGAGGCTTTCTACTTCTGTAAAGATTTACAGCCTCTGAAACCCTAGACAGGGTGACTTAGTTGGAACCAACCCAATAGCACGCAACAACAATGTACGAAAAGCGATGTAAGTGTGGAAAGCCTTTGACAATATAAACAAAATACTTAACTGCTCCAGTTTTATAATACATCTCTAAATGTAACTTCTCTGTGGAAATAACACATCAGAATTTGCCAAAAAAAAAAAAATTAGGTGAACTTAACATAAAAAGCTAATGACAAAAGTCATTCAATAATTGTTTGTAATATTAAACAATAATTAAGTAGCAACTTAGTAAAATAATAAATTATATTAGTTCACTAACAGCTACTACTTTACATCTATTGATGTTAAATGCTGTGGAGTGGGTTCTGACTCATAGTGATCCCATATAGGGTTTCCGAGGAGCAGCTAGTCCAGTACTTATCTTACAGTGCCATACTAGGACTCCACTTTATAGCTGTTGTTGTTGGTTAGGGCTGTAGAGTTGGTTCTGATTCACAGCAACCCTTTATAGGGTTTCCAAGGAGCAGCTGGTGGGTTTGAACTGCTGACCTTGTGGTGCTGATCCTACAGCACCATAGCAGGAGTCCCATTTTACAATTGATGTTGTTGTTAAGTGCCGCAGAGTTGGTTCCAGCTGGCAGTGGCCATACACAGGGTTTCCTATATAAGATGAACTTGAACCACTGACTTTGTGGTTCAAACAACTTTGTAGTCCAGCTCATTAACCCACAGTGCCACACCAGGACTCAAATTACAACTAGGGTTATATAAATAGTGAAGTATCTTTGTTGTTGTTGTTAGGTGCCAACCTCACTATTGTTGCCATAATTGAGACATTAGAAGATAAAACAAAGGAAGGTGCAGGCAGACTAGAAGGACGAGGAGAGGAATTGCTTTACTGTGTACACTGGTCTTCTATAATACAAATGAAAACTAGAGTAGCATTTTTTTTGCATAAATTTAAAGAGCTGAAATTAGTTTCAAAGAATTATTAAACTGGGTTGGTTGATGGGAAAATTTACATAGAAAGAGTAGCCCAAATTGAAGCAAGGCATGCTAGGTTAGGTTGAGAACTTAAGGCAAAGCAACAATGAAGACGATTAAACATTGAGTAATGCCCAAAGTTTATAGATTTACTGCCTTGGGTTTTTATTTTGTAGAGCGCTCTGGTAGCGTAGTGGTTATGAATCAGGCTGTGAACTGCAAGGTCAGCAGTTCGAAACTACCAGCTGTTCTGCGGGAGAAAGATGAGGCATTCTGCTCCCGTCAAGATTTACAGCCTCGGAAACCCTGTACAGGGTCGCTATGAGTCAGAACTGACTCCACGGCACACAGCCACCAGCCACATATAAAAGACATTTTAGAAATAGACTGCCCTTGTACTATAAACCCATATTATAACCTGAAATCAGAAATTAAGCCAAACTTCAAGCATTAATAAAAAAGGGGAGGTTAAGAGAGCAGCCCAGAAAGGCAATGCCTCAGTGACGAAAACAAACCAAAAAGTTTTTCCATTTAGTGTTCACAATATTACTATTTCTTACCTTTTTAGGTGAGAAAACTCCTAGGGTTCCTCCATCTTCCCGAATGGCAACTCCCATTTCAGCCAACAAGGCCTCTCTAGAAAAAAATCACAAGTATATCAACATGTTGTCAGTTGCCTGTCTGTTGATTCTAATTCATGGCAATCCCCTATGTGCAGAGCAGCAATATATTCCATAGGGCTTTGAAGGCTGTATCCTTTTGGAAGCAGACCCCCAGGTTTTACTTCCAAGACATCTCTGTGTGGGTTTTAACCACTAACCTTTTGGTTAGCAGTCCAGCACTTTCACCACCCAGGGACTCCATGAACATACAAATACCAAAATGCCAATTAAGTCAGTCCTGGTGTGGCACTGAAGGTTAAACACTGAACTGCGATCTACAGGTCAGTGGTTTAAACCCACCAGCTGCTTCTTGGAAATCCTATACAGGGTCACTATTAGCCAGAACCAACTTGACAGCACTTAACAACAATATGAATTGGAGGGAGTGTGGTGGCTCTATAATCAGTAAGTTCTGAATTGTGAACCACAAGGTTGGAGGTTCAAGCTGATCAGCAGCTCCAAGGGAGAAAGATAAGGCTTTCTGCATAGATTTACAGTCTTAGAAACCCTATACAGGATTGCTATGAGTTGGAACCAACCATAGTACTTTAGTAATAATATGAACTGAAAATAAAGCATGCAAAGGAAAAACAATTTAAAGTAAGCAAAGCATGTAGAATAATCCATCCATCCCATCATTAGTGAGAAATGTTTTAGAGAAATACCATACTCAAAATTAAGTAAACTATGTTCCTGTGTTAAGTTATATTCACCCATATAAAAACTGCTTAATATAACTTTGGAAGTAGACAACAATCCATGTCTATTAACATAAAAGAAGATTCCTCAAAGCCATTCATTCAACTCAAAATACTATTTCTTCAAAATCTAAGAAAGTAATCAGAAAGTGACTTTGGTTTATATTTGGTTCTTAAATGTTCCCAAGCCAACATTCTATTTCAGCAATTCTAGCTTTAAATCTCTATAATAAATAAGAAAATTACATGAGTTACATTTACTGTATCAATACATAAGAACTCATGTCTGCTTCATCTTCCAAAAATGGGGAAGACAGGAAATGACATTTTAAAATGTAGATTTAGTCTAACAGGCTAGAGAATGGATAAGGAGGTTTACAACCCAAACTATTTTCCATCTTACCAAAAAGGTCTAGAGATGGTAATTCTGACAGACAATCATCAGAACAGTCCTTTGGATTTGGACCATTATCAAAAGCAGATGAAAGCTCTAGTCCTCAATATCTTTCATTTTTACATGAATACCCAGCAACATGTACTCTGGTTGATAGCTATTTAAGTACATGACTCCCTAGAGAACATTTAAACCTGTGGGTTTCATTTTAAAGTGTAAATTCTACTGACCAGATGGCACCAGTCAGGCTTACTTTTTTGATTTTGGGGGAGAAGTTCTGTGTTTAATTTCTTTTGCATCTTTTCTTAGTATAAAAGTAATTCATATTCCTAGAAACCTTAGAAACATTCCCAGATTTTAAGCTCCTGACCTCTCCATTCTGATCGCCTCCGTTTTACGCAGCTTCTCTTCCCAGGTTTCATTCAACTCAGCAATGATCTTCTCTGACTCCTACGGGAGGAAAGCCCACAGTTAGAGTAGCAGAGTCTCATCACTGAACATATCACACCTGAAAGGATAGCAAGCAAAGTTTGCCCTCTGAGATGAGGCAGAATCTAACGCGAAAATTTCTTCTGTCTCTTTTTAATATGTAAAGTAAGAATCTCAAGAACTAGGCATGAAGCTAAATCAGCCCCAGAATAGTGGTACGTGGGGGCTTCAAAGAGTTTGTGGAAAAATGTAACTAAAAAAGAATAAATTTTTTCCATGAAGTTTTTGAAGCCCCCTTGTAATCCTTTAAATCCTAACAAAAATGTCTTAATAGTGTCTATGTGTGTTTGTGTGTTGAAGGGTAATATATCAACATCCCATGCAAGGTACTTTTCCTGACAACCACTTCTACATTAGAAGAAAATCCCCAAACGTACTCATTGCTTTTGTTTCACCATAATTTCACCATAACACTGCATCCTCCTGAACACAGCCCAATACCTAATAAAGGAAGGTTTAGTATTGGATCTCATAAACGCATGCAGTCATTGACGTGAAAAATTACCAATTACTTGAGGAGTGTGTATTATATGTCAGAAATATAAGAACATACATTATTTCTCTGTCTTTGGGACAGAAAGAAGGAACTGGTCGAGTCATTGAACAATGATATTTGCCCTTATTAAATGTCAAGCCTTATTCAAGGCAACTAAGGATCTGTAAAAGGAGCCCTGGTAGCATGGTGATATGGGCTGCCAACTGCAGGGTCAGCAGTTCAAATCAAGGTCACCAGTTGTTCCACAGGATAAAAATGAGTTTTTTGGGCTCTTATAAAGATTTACAGCCTTGGAAACCCTATACGTGCTTGCTATGACTTGGACAAACTTGATGGTACACAACCACCACCAGCAGGGATATTTAAGAGAACAAAATCCTTGCCTTCATAAAACTTATATTTCAGTAAGGAAAACAAGAAAACTCATTTTAATCAATAATCCAAATATATAGCATGGTAACAGCAATAAGCACTTAGGGGAAAACAAAGCAAAGAAGGGGAACAAGAACACAGATGGAGGTGGAGATGAGGGAGCAATGTGAAGTGGGGTTACAAGACTGGCTCAATTCCAAGGTTCTATGCAGAGACAAAAGAATTGGATGTGCCATGCAGCGGGAACAGTCAGGAAGGTACCTGGCAGTTTCCAGGAAAAGTTGTGTGGCCAGTTCAGTGTATTCAAGGATTGTCAATGAGTATGGTAGGAGATGACAACAGTACAGTGTTCTAGGTGCTAAAGGCAACTGGAAGGGGAGTGAACCAGGGAGGGCTTCTTAGGAGTGTATGAGATCCACACAGATGAATAAAGGGCAAATGGGAGTCCTGGTGTGGCACTGCAAGATAATGCACTGGACCTCAAGGTTGGTTTGAATGGCAAGGGCAGCAGTTTAAACCCACCATCTGCACCTTGGAAACCCTATACAGGATTGCTATGAGTCGGAACCGAATTGATGCCACTTAACAACAATAAGGAATTGACTAGGTAAAGAACAGAGGGAAAGAAGTACCAACAAGGGATGAACAAGTGCAAAAGCAAGAGACAAGGCTAGTTATGGAGATGAAATGAAGCAAGTCAGATGATGATGATAATGATAGCAGTGCTGTTGGTGGTACTAGTGATCAACCATGAAGTCTTACAGTTCACAAAATATTTTCATCTATGTTTCATTGCAGAGGCTGCTATTATAAAAAGTGTCCATGATTCAAAAAAAAATTATATAGATTAAAAAAAAAAAAGATGAATGATATAATATGATAAAGCATAAGTGTCTGATACTTAATTTTCTATAGCTTTTGGGCTTCCAGAAAAATTCTGCAATTGGATGTCACCTAAAACAAAACCACCCAAACCAAGAAAACATTTAAAAAAGCCAAGAATAAAGAAAGTCTCAAAAGGCAGCAGCTACAAGACTTCCGGTTTGCCAGACGGACAGACGGCACGGCCTCCCTTCTGCTATTGAAGGACTCTTTGTCTCCCTATTCTACACGAGAAGAGTCAGCAACTGCTGCCAAATAGCCAAGCTACATTCACACCATATTAAACATCAAAACCCAGGCAATAACCAATAACAGCTACCAGATACCAAGGAAACAGGCAGCACCTGTGAAAGTTACTCTGAGTCAAGGAATAAGAAGAGTGAAAGGGGAAGACCACACCCTGACCACATCTTCCTGGAAGAAACCAGAAAGCATAAAAAAAAAAAAAAAAGTACCAAAATACATACTCATTTAAGCATTAGGGCCACAGATAAACATGAAACATGTCCAAGAAGCAAAATCAGATGACCATATCAGCACATGTCCAGAAAAAAGACAAAATATCTTGAGACAAAGGACCCAGAAGTAGACCTGGACTCCATTCTGGAAGGAGGGCAGGCCCTGGAAATGCCTGAGAAAGAATTCAGAAAAATGATTAT